ATACTGACGACATTCAATTAAAAATTCATTTGATAACATTCAGAAACTTGATTAATTTTCTTAAGGAAGATAGAAAATTTATATATGAATATACAATAACAGGAACACAAAATTTCTCTCTCAGTGATATTGCACCTGTATGGCTCTTTCGATGAAACTAGGTAAAAGTCCACTGATTGAATGGAATTGGCCTAGGTTTGGGGGCTTTCGTTGGAGGTGTGGGTGGGCTCATAAGCTTCAGAGCCAAAGCAGACGAATGTGAAGTGTGCCTCTTGCTGTGAAACAGAGCCTTAGCCGGAGTCTCGCTCTAGTGCGCAGAAGCCGGATTTTGTGATGTTGATGCCTCGGAAACTAGAGATGGTGGATAGTGGACTAAAGCAGTCGGCAGTGGTGAGCTGACTGGCTCGAATGCTGGAGGTGAGCTCACTGGACCCAGCATTGAAATATTCTTCGACGACGATAGAGAAAGGAAGAGAGACGAGAGAAGATAGATGAGAGAAAAAATTGGAAAATGAAAACGGTGGGTGAGTGGTTAAAAGGATTTTGTATATAAAACGGTTTTTATATTAATTCTGTACTAATTAACTTAATAATTTTTAATTAACACTTGATATGTGAAATTTAAACTTAATTTCCTTATTTAAGAAAATTAGTCTTCAATTGTAGGTAATTTTCCCTTTTAAAAATATGGGTCAAGTTTTAAGTTGTCCGGCCCACTATAATTTGCTACTTGACAGAGTTGGGCCACTGCCTTTTTCCAGTAACCTAGACGTCAGCCTGTACAAGGCCTAGCCCATACTACGTTAGTAAATACGCTAGTTCTTTCTGAAAGACCCTAAGCTCATGTTTGGTTTAAATAAAAAATAAAAAATAAATTGATAAGAAAAATTAAGTCAAAATCAACAATTAATTTTAACTATATTTTTTATGAAATCCACAACTTTTGTCAACTTTTTAAATACAAACTCCATACTTCTTTTCTTTCCCCGTAATCATGTTGAACGGACAATTTAAAGCCTTGTTTGACACTTATTTATTTTATAAACATAACCAATCAAAATTATTTTATATTCATCACCTCGAATGACTCACAGATATTACTCGCTTATTCATCACTCACATAGCGTGCCACATCACTCAATTTTGTAACTAACTATTATCTTCCATCACTTATTGTAGTGTGTTATGTCACCCGAGTGCTCATGCTTATTGTAGTTTAACCCCATTATAATATATTTCCAAATAAGCTCTTAGTCTTTCTTAGAGCGTCTTTGAGGCAAAGCTTAAACCTCGGAAATATTTTCCCTTTATGATTTATTTTTCAGACCATTTTCAATTCAAATATGGTATTTGAAATTGAATGGTATTGCGTTATGCACATTTTGTCCGACTGGAAACCCTTGCTAGAAGGGGAATGTTAATTGATTTCTCAGGCCAGGTTTATGCACGGCCTCTATCTGATGAATCAACATTTCACAGTATGCTGTGTGTCCAGTGGCTAGCCTTCTTTGTGATCAGCACAAGCAATGGAGAAGCGGCACCCGGAAGGTATGTCTTCGTAGTACAACGGTTGGGTAAAAGTGACAAGGTCTTTTGATGTCAATTTTCGCGATTGTGCTGCTATCAAAATAAGTAATTTATTTTAGAATTTAATTGAACTTATAAGTGAATTTGTGTATTTTTAGTCAACTAACTTCATTCATATTATTCATCACTTGCTAAATGATAATAATAAGGTGCAAATCCACTATTCAGTTTTGGCGACAATAAACTCCCTAATTCATTGTCCAACAAAGTCTGTAATTCATTTTAATGCTGACGCTACATGCAAAAGCACAAGATATCAGATGCTGAATTTAAACCATAAGAGAGAAAAAATCTGGAGTAGTTGCCTGCTAAATTTGCCTTGTAGTCTAGGTATTGTCATTTTCTCTAGCAGGTGATGTGCCCTACCTCATTTAATTCGCCCTGCAAATACATATTACTCGTTGTACATTATATTTTTTTTGTCTTTTTGTTTGGTTCCTTAGTTATATGAAACAGCAAAGTTACACACCCATTTATCGAGTTAGAGAAAAGATATGTCATCGAATTTTGACATTACCCATTTATGAAAATAGTACACGTGTCCAATCTTTTATAAGAAAAATGAATACATTTTTTCAATAAACTTATAGCACGTTTAGCACAAGAAATTTATACTTACCCATCAAAAGATGGGAAATATCGTGAAAAGTATAAAGAAACTACATTTCAAGCATCCTAATCATACTCTTGTCAATCCCTTTCGGATTTCTACATCTAGAAGGAGATTAAGTAAATTTTCTACCATACCCAAAATTTAAGAAGTCCATAGCCTCATTATCGTCTCCATGAATATATAGATAAGCATCCTAGCATATTCTCTTATCCTCGAGCAATGCTAACACCTCATCATCACTTGCAATCTCCACCTTTAATAAAGACGATGGAGAGATCTCCTTTATCTACAAACCTTTACTGTTCAAGTCATTTTCTATTAATCGATGGACCAGATTTTCGTACATTGCCTCTCTAATACCAAGTACAGGATTAACCTGCTTCATTAATAGTCCATTAATGTCATAAAGTCACCTTCCAGATACCACTCAGGACCAACTTGTCTGATTGAGCTGACCTCTTATTTATCTACGTGTTTAGTTTGTTACTTTTTACTTGATTCGTTTTTAACTCCACAAACATTTTGAAGATTTGAGCTAAACTTGATTCTGTGACTCTTGAAAAAATTAATTAACTCCATGCTTCACTTGGTATTCATCCCAAATAGCTTTTAACTTATTTTTCCCGTATCTAAAGTAATCCTGCTTAATTATTTGCCCCAATGGCGGAGTTAGGCTCATTGCATTTTGCTTTATTTTTAGTCCTTTTCTACCTATATATTCAATATCAGTCTCTGGACATCAACATGCTGTGAGGAGAATTATTCAAAATAAGATTCAAAAGCATATATCTGATCGCTTAAACTTTTCAATGAAATAAATAATACGGTACGCACTACTCGACACAACTAAAGAATAAAAATGGACGTGATTTCGTGTGTCTACTTATTGAAGGTTTCATTAGTGGATGTTGGAAGGGAAAGTGAAAGATGAAATAGCAAGAAAATTAATCTTATTTGGTTGGAAGGGCAAACGTTATTAGGTAAGAAAGTACTGTGAAAACCTAATTTAATTTCAGTTTATAAATAATATATGGAACTTAAAGCTTTTCATGAACGCACTAATCAATTTACAATATGTATACAAATATTTATTTGTTCCATTGGAACAATGTCCCTTGTTCTTTCCTTTTTAACCTACTTTTCGCCTCCATGGAAAACACCCTGACCATATCCCTTCTGTCTCTCCTCCTTTCAACGTTTATTAAAATCTCGGTAGTCTTAATGAAAAGAAATAAAATATTAGCCCGAATTCTTTAATTGTAGGAACGTCTTCTTTTAAAACATATTTACGATAGTTTCTCAAAAAATCAATCATGAACTATATGCCGAAATCTCCAATCATAATAAGAATAATTACAACAAAAATCAACGTCTACACATTATATACATAATTTTAGCCCATTTAAGCCTCTTTTCCCCCCCTAAAATGCACTTTGAAATAGTATTTTAATGGAGAATATAGGTTAAAAAATAAAAATAATTTTTAGGTTTACGTGTAATATTATTTTATTGAAAAATGTGTAGTTGAAAATTAGAGAGTGAAAAATGTATTTTGAAAATAATAGACCAAACTAGGGGTTATCTTTAAGCTCCTATTTGGTACCGATTAAAATCTAAATTTTAATTTAAGTCAAAATAAATAATTCAATTCAACCTCATATTTTATGGGTTTCACAACGTTTTAATCACACATTTCATCAACTTCTACCAAAATTTGTTGAAAATGTGATTTTAATCCTCATGGGAGTTAATATCGGTGAAACCCTCATTTGATGCCAAAATTTTCTGCTCAATGCTGTTATCTTCAATATTAGATCCCGTGCTCATTCTAAAGCCTTTTTTCCCCTTTATATCTTAATCTAAATTATCTTGCATTTACCGGTTCAAAAACTTCATCTTCCATACTGTACATTGTATTCTAGATTATAAGCATAGGTTTATTAATTATCCGACAATATAATAAACATAGTCGGTGAAACCCTCATTTGATGCCAAAATTTTCTGCTCAATGCTGTTATCTTCAATATTAGATCCCGTGCTCATTCTAAAGCCTTTTTTCCCCTTTATATCTTAATCTAAATTATCTTGCATTTACCGGTTCAAAAACTTCATCTTCCATACTGTACATTGTATTCTAGATTATAAGCATAGGTTTATTAATTATCCGACAATATAATAAACATAATTTCTTTTTTAAAAAATTATTCAATTTTCAAAAAATAAGATCATGGTATACGCAGGATTATGCACTTTGACAGAAAGTGGTTGACTGATGAAGTAAAATAATATTAGTTGACAAGTTATGATTGGATAAAAAAATTGACTGTAATTAAAAAGTCTAATGACCAAAATGACCAAAATATCGTGTGACAATATGTAAATCTTTATGACACCGTGACATGATTCTACATATGTAAGATCGTGTACAAGACAGTATTGTCATTCTCAGTTTTGTCTTCATAAGCTAACCCTAGGCGTCGTTTTCCTTTTCAGTCAATTTTGTTTCCTTGGTATTTATGACAGGAATGTTTACAGAAATAAACATTATTATATTCATATATGTAACTTTGAATCCTCCCTTATCGAAATTCCAAGTGACTTCACAATCTAATTTCAGCACTTCATTTCCAAACCCTCAAAATTTCCCAATTCCTTCATTGGGAGACTAATCTATTTCTCTCTCTACGTATACATACGTATGTGTATAGAGAGAAGAGTATCTGTGTAAATAAACAAGTCCTACTCCTGTCAACATATATAGAGCCAGTATGAATGTTGCTAAAATCTAGCATTTCATCGATTCACCCAAAATGGTCCAAAAGCATTTTAAGGCAATCTTTTTGCATAGCCAAAATCTACCATTGAAATGTTACATCAAGATCAGCAAAAAAATTTCCTGTTTCCAGTTTCAAGCGAGTAAATACAAATCCATAGTTTTAATACATAGATACTGCTTTTTTATTCCATGCATATTAATTAATTCTTCAATGGTAGGAACTCAAAAAACTGGAAAGAAGTGAAGTTAGAATTCATGGCTGCTGCAGACATCTCCGTCTCATTCTCCGTTAAACCTTCGTTGTTACTGCTATAGCCATGGCCGCTTTGAAGAGGAAACAATTGAAGGGTCTGGAATTCCTCGTCTTGGGTTCCGATAAAAATATCAGAATATTGAGATTTGATGAGCTTTGGGTCGATTACTGTTACTGTTAATGGACAAGAAGCAGATGTAACATCAGGAGTTGGGTTCATTAGGTTTGTAGGAGACGATGAACAAGACAAGTGCATCATTTGCCACGTGGCATTCCTTTCTACTAGGGTCTTCCTTTGTTGTAATTCAGCAGCCTCATCGAACTGTACCCATCCATCTGACTTACATTCTGCTTCTGCTGCTTTTGCTGCCCTTTGTGTTAATGAAAGGGTTTTCTGATAATTAAATGCATGCCAATTAATCAAATATAAAATTAGAAAACACAATAAAATTCTCAAAATAGAATGTTATATATGACTAATGAGATTCTAGCATCTTATTTTTTAACATACCAAACAAACCATGTAGATTTACAACTGACATAGCCCCCTTTCCCTTCACTCAATGGTTTTCTAATAATTTAATCAACGCAGAACAAGAAAACACTGTACAAACTTTAACCTTAGTTTTGTATGCAATATTAGATCAAACTCAATAACACAATAGACGAGATATTAATTTCTTCTTTTCTTGTAATATAGGCGTTCCCAATGACATAGCTGCTTTCTTGACCTAAGTTTATTTCATCAGAAGTACAATGTCTAGGGGTTAAATGGTCTTATAACATTTAAGGTCAGACAGTATTATGGGTTCCCACATCGATTTTCCAAATGAATGAATAAGCACAGCATCCAAAAACCCTAGCATTGTTTCATAACGATAGCTGCCCCGACAAAAAGGAAGATATCCATCTTTTGGACCCTTTTCATCATTTCCAACAAATAAAACAAAGGTTTTGATGCTTCTCTATAGCAAAACCTAATTCTTAAATGATGATCATGTAATCATGTCGTTATTATTAGTTAATTAAAGGAATCTAATTGCTTTTCGGAGAAACTGATGTTTTTAATTCTGAGTTTAAGAGATCAAACTCAATAACACAATAGACGAGATATTAATTTCTTCTTTTCTTGTAATATAGGCGTTCCCAATGACATAGCTGCTTTTCTTGTTTTTCTATCTTTCCATAAATGGGATAGTTTTTTCCCCAGTAAAGACAAAGAGGAAAGAGGAAACAGACGACCTTTGCAGTTGTACTGCAGTTTATAGGAGATGCCCAATTTCCTGTCTGTTCACCTTCAAATCCTGTCCTGTTTGCATCTATGGAAAGATAGAAAAACAAAATGAAGGTAACTTTATAAAGAGAATCGGAATGGGAAAAGAATAAGTAATAAAAATCAAACAAAACATTATTGAAGGATAATCAAATGTATATCAAACAACTCTTCATCTGTCTGTCTCTTTTATCTCATGCATGAGTATTATTGATTCTTTAACTGTCATTAACTACTTAAAAGCCTTTGAAGAGCTATTGTTAAACTACGTGGTCTAAAGTTGTTTACTGGGAGACGGATTGTCTTTATTACGATTTGAACTCGAGATCTTCGCCGAGAATGACATTACTTGTAATCATTTCATCTAAAAGTTTTATATTTGCAAGTGTCTAGAATTAAGCAAGTAAAATCTAGTAATACTTCCCATCAATTGATTTGTACCTGCAGATTCTTTTTTTCCACCATTCTCCATGTTATTCCGGGGTGGTTCATTATCAGAGACAGATTCCAGCTGACGGCGGCGTTTTTGCCTCTCTCTAGCTTTATGATTCTGAAACCAGTAAAACACATTCTTTCCTTCAATCTTTCCATATCGTCGAAGTTGTGTAGTAATGTGCTGAATTTGCTCGGCCGAAGGAGTTCGAATGCCCCGTCGATACAGTTCTTCGAGGGTTTGTAGTTGATCTGGCGTAGGATTCCAGCGTGAGCTCGCTACAACCTGCTGTGTATTGAACTCTCTCTTATTTTTTTCAGTCACACCGGCTGAAATAAATAACCCAAAACCCCATTAAAGTATTCATACACAAAATAACAGAGAGAATAAAAAGACTTACAAAAACGGTGATTTAGAGAAAGAAGATTATTGTCATTTATACGGCCCAAGCAATGAGGGTTTGTGATGGTGGTGGTGGAACTAGCAGCAGGTCTTGGCGCGAGAGGCCGAAATCTCCAGCTGTTAATTGAATCTGGAATGCTATCAAAATCTCCTCCATCATTGTACCCCATCATCCAATTCTTCAACGAGAAAGATTTAGGGTTTGAAATCTTGGTGAATCAAAAATATAGGTTATTGGTGGGAATGGGGTATTTTGATCTGAGATGAAAAGAAAATAGTAGGTAGGGTATTTTGAGTTAGATAGAGATAGAGATTGAACGGTGCAGACAGAAAGAAAAAGGGAACACAGAAGGAATGGTGTTGGTTAAACTGAAACAAAGAGAGGACAGTTGACTAGACTACATCTCAAGGCTACATAGAGAGATAGAGAGCAAAGACGAAAATCAGAAGGAAAAAAAAAAAAAGAGCAGACAAATAATAGAAAGAGAGAGAGCGTGGAATTCTGGGAGTTATCGATGTATGTGAAGTAAAAACGACGTGACAATGATGAGGATTATGGCTCATCACCTCTTTACAGTATCATTTGTTATTCATCTTCTTCTTCTGTCCCTTTTACACTTATTCTCAATCCAAATTGCCCCTCTCTTTTCTCTGTCTTCTACCATTTTCTTTGTCTCACCCCTAAACCCCTTCTCTCTATGTGTGTCTCTGTGAGAGAGAAGATATTGCGGTCTGTATTATAAATTCTTTGCCAGCCTTATGGTAAACTTACCATGTCAAAAAAAAAAAAAAAAAAAAAAAAAATTTTTAAAATCTCAAGTTGAACAACGTATAAGAGTTTGAATTACTTTTTTTAATAATATTGACAATTTAAGATAGAGCTCTAAATTTTAATAACGAGTCTCCTATGGTTAGAAAAATATGACTAGGGCATGTGAGACAGATATCTTGTTCTTTTACTCTTTTAAGTTAACATTAACTAAAAGTTTTTGTATTGAATCTACATTGATTGGAGGTTTAGGTCTAACAAACGGTTCAAATTATAAATAAGTAAAAATGAAAAATAAATAAATGAATAGTACTTCTGATTTCATGAAATATTTAGATAAGGAGGGGGGGCATCTTATATATTATAGAGAGCATCTTTAAATTTAAAAAATAAAATTTTTTATGCACGCTAACAATTTTATCTATTTTGATTCTTAATTTTACTTTTCTCAAAAAATATTTCTTGATTTCTCCTCATATTTTATTTACTATAATTTTTTATATGTCAATGATGAATCAATTTAAATGTTGTTTAAATAGTTTAAAAAGTAGACTATTGAAATTTGTGACTTATTACAATTATTGTATAATAAGAATAGAGAGTGAATTTAACTTTCAAAATTTGGAGAGTTAAATGCACTATTTATTTTAAAAGTTAAAATAGAGAGAATATGAGTTTATTTTTAAGCATTAGCTCTTTAAAACAAAAAGTATTTTACATTTAGAGCGCATCTTGGAGACACTTAATAGTGGTTTGAAACATATATTTATTTTGTAGAATCTGTGTGTCAACCACTCATTTAAAAAATAATAATAATAACTTTTTAGTTAAAAAAAAAAAAAGAAACACCAAAGAAGACATCATTTCCAAAAATAAAAAGTAACTTTCAAGTGTAGTCAAACAATATGGTATACACAACCTTTTTCCAGCTAAGTTATTAATTTGAAATACTTCATAAAAAAAAAATTACACACTCTCTGATGAAAAAAAAAATATATATATATATATACACACACACACCCAACCCAAGCAGACATGTACAGTGGAGTAAATATATATTATCTTATGTGTGTATATATATTAATTTTGTTTCACGCCATACAGTTACTATTGTCCTTTTATACGAATACGATGCAAGAGAAGAGTGAAGAGGATCTAATAAAAATTACTGTCCCCATTTGAAATCTTGTCTGCGTGCATGCATGCATTTTAATAAATTCATGTCTTCCTTTACCGAATATCGTGTCCCCACTCACTCCAAAGATATCTCCCGATTCCCCCCCTCTGCATACCATTAATTATGACCAAATGATACCAAATATATACATACAATTCTATGTTTGTCTGTATGTGTTGGTGTAATCTAATGAGGTGGATTATAGAGTACTGAATAATATTATTGCGAGATAATGAAATAAATATTATTTCTATATTATTTCATACATTTTGATATTATGTACCAAACAGGTACATAGATAGCGTCTATATTACCATTAGGGTCAAAGTTTTTCGCATGAAAATGAAATTATGTAGTGCATCATGCGGCCATGTGTGTATTTATTATAAAAATGTGATGGTCAGCTTTGTTATTTTATTCGTAGAACAATATACGTATATATAGAAAAAGACTTCAATGATTTGACACGAAAATGGTAAACACTATAGTTGATAAGAAATTAAGTACTATATTGGAGGTGAAAAATCACACTTAGGAAAGATAAAAGTGTGACAACCAATTAATTTGTAATAATCTTATGAGTCATGATCTTTGGCTTGAGTTTATTCTTGATTAATTCTTATGCTTTGATGTAACCCCATGATTGTAGTAATTTGAATTATACCCATTAACCTGCTTCCCTAAGTTGGAGGGGGAATGATCGTGGACTCCCAGCTTGCTTCAAATTGTGAAGGACTCCATTCTCAATTGCTCGATGAAGGCATATATTGGTTGAGAAGTCAATGGAACATAACTAGCAATAAGAGAAACCATGGCTACCTTTCCACGAACAAGAGTTACACGTTAGGTCACTGTTGATAAAGTGCATTCCAAGTTGGATTGCCAATTGACCTCGACAATCAAAAAATGATGGTTTCTTATCTATGGTTAGATAATAATATACTTCGAAGTTGTGGACAAGAGGGAGTTGAGTTCTCATTTTTATTCAAGATTGAATTTCCATAGACCCTCCTTCATGGTTTCAGGTAACCACAATAACATCAATTAATGATTATATCGTTGTTTTCTCCAAGATTCACACAAGAGGTTGGAAACATTGTTTTCCTTTTTCATCGGTTATGTTTTAGCAGAACTATCATCAACAATAACGTGATGATAAAGTTCCAAACTTTTGATTAATGGAGTGATTCACTACAAGATTTTTTTTTCAAACTATTTTTGTCAAGTTGGAAATTTAACTTTGCTATTTATTATTTTTAAATAATTAGTCTCAAAGACTTGGTCATGAGTTCACGTGTACAAGGACCTAGTCTCTAGTTTTTTTATTGTTTTTCCTTGTCTTTAGGATTGTTCTACTTCTTTGTGAAAGTGGCAGATTTTTCTATAAACTTAGTTCAGTCATTGGCTATAAATGGCCCACTTTACATTTGAAGTATCAAATTTCTTTCCATTTTAGCAAGTGAACAGCAACAGTTTTTTTTCTTCTTCTTCTTAAGTGCCCAGTAGTTTATTTATTCCTGTCATTGACCAATCAATATCAGTGGCATCCGAGATACTGATAATTTTCTTTGCAATGACTAGTCGAAGAGGCAGGTAAATGGGAGTTACTGAAGATGAGAGGCTAAAATTTTGGCAACTTAGTCATTCATTTAAACACAAACCTTATCCACAAATTCAGTGAACTCTATTCTCCAAAAATATATTTTTCTTTTTCTTATTTTCAACCACACATTCTTCAATAATTAATATTACACAAAAACCCAAAATTTTTCCTTATTTTTTAACCACACATTCTTCAAATACTACGATTTAAAATACATTTTTTTCTCAAAATGCATTTTTAATGGAGCCCATACAAGGGCTTAACAAACTTTGTCCTGTTGAACAAACCTCACCACAAAAAACTGAGTGCAAATATTACTACAGCATTATAAGTTACCCAAAAAGAAAAAAAAAATGGAGGTACCAGAATAGACATTTCTTGCATTCTATATACATCTGGAGCCAGGGAGTGCAATCCACCCAAGCTGAATTTCCACTTCACCGCACTCCACATTTCTCAATCTCAGGCACATATCTTGCATCACCTTCTCGTCATTCCAGATCACGCAGTTCTCTTCAGCAAGGCAAATTGACCTCGACGGTTGTATTCTTGTTAGTATGGTACCACTGGGGAGGTTGTCTAACTTCATTCTCAAGACTTCTGCAAATGGTTTAATGTCAATTTCTGCATCTCCCATTTTGTCGTCCTTGGTGAATGTGTCGTGGTCATACACAGTCTGAAATCATACACGGGGATAAGAATACGCATCAGAGTGCTTATTATCCATGAAAAGAATACTGAAAATCCAATGCCATGATGCTATAAAGATTTAAGTGTTTAGCTATTCAAACTTGTAAATTTTATTTTGTCAAGAAGATAAATTACTTGGCTAAACAAATTACTAGACGATATAAAGTCAGAAATCTAAAGTAATCTAATAAATTCTTCTAACTCGTGTTATTTAGCAGTTGCTCAAAGTAAGAGCCAATGAACCCTACCAGCTTGATTGGAAGATTAGGATCTGCGACAGAAAGCGTCAAATCCTCGTTCCATTCAGGATTGACATCCTTTCTTATAACTCGAGTCTTCAATTTCTGCATGAAACAGCAAAATTAATATGTCAAAGCTTTATAAGGTGCTTCCAAGAAGTAAAATATTATTATAACAAGAAGAAAAATTTGCATCTCAATGCTGGCAGGACTTTCATATTGCCTATTTTACGGATAAGCTATCACCAGACCCTGTTTGGCACCCATTTCGTAATGCCATTTTTCCCAAACTTATTTTTAAGCACACATTTAACGGAACCCACAAACCTGTGAACTATTTGATTACAACTTTAAAGGAAAATTCGGTAAAGGCTGAGTTCCCAAAACACGTTGTCCTATCTAAACTCAGTATTCCAAGAAACCTCCATCTCAGTTACAAAAGAAAGCTGGTTAAACAAAATTCCGAATGACTCCTCCAGGGAAATCTCATTTACTCAAAACATCTCCCTAGAACCCTCAGTCTTCTCCCATCACCTACAACAACCTAGTAAGTGAATTAAGAAAAGTCCCCTGACAGGTTCAATTTAGCTATAATGCCCTCTTTATCAGCCGTAAACGTAGATCATATGAACAAGTTAATTATATGATATAAAGTTCAATTCTTTCAGTAGACTCACAAGCTACAAACTAAAAGAGGCTTAAAGTAAATATCAAGTTACCCCAGAACAAAAACTAATTTACATGACTCTCTTTCAAATGTGGCATCTAATCGTACCAATTGGCAACCATAAGTTTTAAAACGAAAATTTTCAAACTATGTTAAAACGTTTTTTTTTTTTTAAATTTGCGATTGACTACTTTAGCCACGTAATATTTTGGGACTCAAACGCTGCAGAGGTTCCGCCTGAAAGAAGCATTCTTTCAGGTGACATATTAGCCAGCCACGAAGATTTGGAGCAACTGATTGTGGAGTTTCAATACAAATTAGAGGATGAACGGGTCCTAACCTCATTTTGTATAAAACAGTAACAAAAAACTTAAAATTCCACTTGCGCCCATTTTGATTTGGATGTATCAGAAGCAAGAAATTGCAGGATAGTAAACTTTTACAGCAACTAAATGATTCTTTAAACAACATAGCCTTATCTGCACTTCTGTTCCAAGAAAAGCTTAGAGAAGAACATGAAACCTCCCGCGTTAAAAAACGCAGATTAGGAAATACCCAAAAGATCTTATAACTGTTAAGGGATAAGGGATCATATTCTTCCTGTTATTGATAGTATATCAATTACAGAGCATTAGGTGATTAACATTAGGAGTTGATGAGGTTAGTTTCTTTGTTTGCTGTATTCTCATCTCTTTATTTGTTATATTCTTGTCACATAGACTTGAATAAATAGGTTTGTACACTGTTAGTCAAATACAAGAAAAAACGTATTTTACTTTACATCATTTTCCATGTCCACGCCCGACTTCAATTAATTGAGCCTAAAAGCACAACTACCGAGATTTCCGATGAAAATCGATCCTTTAGCCTATTATTCCCGGCAATTGCTATAGAATGGAGTGATTTTCGCTAGCAGAAGAGAATTGGTCGAAGATAAGAGGCTACACACTAAAGGGAGACCTTAGCCTTGGTTGCCTAAATCTTATTCTGTCAGAATCTTTTTGGAGGCCTTGGTGGTCTCATATTATTTAAAATCGTTTACGCCAAGTATAGGCTCAGGAAGCAAACAACAACTACTTGCTGTGGATCCTGGAGCGAAATGAGAATTTTTCAAATGGTCGCCCCCCGTCCTTTCTTTCTCCCGATCCGATAGCGAGTAGCAGTTCAATTCCAACCCTATTCTGTATATTCAGGAACAGGACTATCAAATGTTCGACTGTGAAACCCATCAGGGATTGGTTTGGTATGCATTTAGAAAGTGTTCGGTGGAATATCTATCTTTCTTTTTTATTTCATATCTAATGTAAAAAATAGAAAAGTTTTCTTGTTATTCGTAGAGGAGTCCGCTGGCAGAGTACTTCATTGAGTCAAAAGCTATATCCTTCCTGTTGTTGAAGCGCCCGCATTAACGCACAATGCCTAATCCCCCAACATGCTCAAGAATCGAGAGACGTCCAGTCCCTGGACGGTTGGAGGGGAGGCTCAAGCAGAGGCCCATTTACTTATGTTTCCAATGGTACTATGATTCCTATTCTTATCCTTCCATTCCCTCCTGTAGTAATCGTTGCAATCGATGTTTGATCCCTAAGAGAAGGAAAAGATCTTACTTTTTTGAAGAACCAAAAATTGACTAAGGACAGAAGCAAGCTACAAACCTCCCTCATAGTTGGGATTCAAGTCTTATGGCGGAACCAACTTCAACTGTACCAACCCGGATATACTTGTTCAGTATGAGTTTGGTCAGCGTACTGTGACTCAGGGGGCTCATCGAAAATGAATAAATCTGGCGGCAAGCCTTAGTCCCTTAATGGGATTACTTTAACACAACCTGAGGCTTAAGAAAGGCCACCATTGGAAAATATGGGAAAGATGAGAATATAACGTTCGAAGGATATTTATATTAGCGACTAGAAGATATGAGTCACCTTTCCCAAGGAAGGCACTGTGGGAATTTGGAGCGAATCGAGCTTAGTTTGACTTTCGTGGATTAAAAAAAACAGCTTTAGCTAAGATTTGTGACAACGGCATCTCGAGGACTTCTCATCCTAATCTTATTCCAATTTGTTTAAGATAACTGGGATAGAACTGGATTAACCAGACAGCTCAACCCTACAGAATCCGATTTGTGGCATCTTTGATGGACAGAGGGAAGTGACATATATTATATATATGCCCCAGACTCCATTCTTTAGAAATTCGCCGAGTTGGTCTCCTTATTGGCCTCGGACCAATGGAGCTATTGAAAGCCGTCCTAGAAGCGTCAAGAAGGCCCTTTCTTTTGAACCATGAATTCGGGATGAAGATGGGGCCAAAAAACAACCTTTTCAGCCCTTTCCTTTATCTCGCAATGCCCTCTTAGCACAAGGCAATTGAAATGGTACAGGAAAGGATAGATAACTATTGAGTATGCCCATCGAACTTTCATAGAAGAGAACGTGAAGGAGGACGTAAGGTAAGCCCTTACTTTTTCCCGTTTGGGAGAGTCACTTTCCACGGTCTGCTATTCCTTTCCTAAACAAAGGCTTTGCTTGTGAAAAACAAGTGAAGAGTTCCATCCGATTGCCCGATTCTATTCCTATTTCCTGATTCTATCTCGTCTTATTGGTCATTACATTGCTTATTCCTCCAACTCTTTCTTCTTAAATAGCAATAGCATCAGAGTCGTTCACGAGAACTACCAATTCTATTCCGAAACTCTTACCATACTTCTTGAGGGGAGGTTGAAAAAGGCTGTTACAGAATAAGCTACAGTCTTTAGGCCTCCAATTGCAAACTTTTACCCATAAAAAAAGATAAATTAAAAGAGGAGGAAAAGGGAAATGAGGATTGTCAGAACATGCTACCCGCTTGCTTCGCTTCAAGTTTGAATGCCCCTATTAGAGCCATAGACAACAATATGTCAAACACCTCAACAGCTATTGTTCTTCCTTCATCCATTTCACCCTCTACAACATCATCCCATCATTCTTTTACTATAAAACTTAATTCCAAAAATTATTTAGCTTGGAAAGCTCAATTTTTACCACTACTCAATTATCAAAACCTTAAAAGGCTTAATTGATGGAACTGAACTTGCACTACCTAAAACCATTACTTCCACCACCAATCCACCTGAGATGAAACCCATACCTGAATATCTTAACTGGTATAAAAATGATCAAATGCTCCTTGCTTGGTTATTGTCCTCACTAAGTGAAGAGATTTTTCCTTATGTGATTGGACTTGATTTGTCCTTTGCTGATTGTGATGCCTTATCAAAATCCTTTGGTTCATTTTCACAAAAATGGCAACTCCAACTTCACATAAAATTGCAAGAATTGAAGAAGCATGATTTATCTATGTTTGCTTTTCTCCAAAAGGCAAAATCACTAGCTGACGAACTCGCCACTGCTAGTCACACTATTTCGCCTGCAGAATTCAATGCGATTATTTATCACAACATTGAAACAAAATTTCATGCTATCATAACTGCTCTTAATATGAGACATGAGCCTGTCTCATTTCATAAACTCCAAAGGCACCTTATTACCCATGAGATTCTCCTAAAAAGTTGTCAAGAATTACCTATTGCGAATGCTGCCTATAAAGCCTCTTCCATGACACAACTGCCTTAGTTGTCAACTTCTGTGCCAAGTACCATATCGGGTCCTTTTCAGCCTTCATTCCCACGACGTGGCAAAGTTACCTATCATATTTGTGGGTTTAAGAATCACAAAGCAGATAAGTGTCGACGCCGCTACACCCGAGACATAATTCATCACGCCAGGCTCCTCAAGCACACATGATGTGCACGGCACCCTCTTCTTCGCCAGTGTCAAACAATCAATTTTATCAAGGTACTCAATTTTTTTCCTTGGATACCAGACACTGGAACAACGCATCAACTTACTCCAGGTATAGAAATTTTAAGTGTTGCTCATGATTACAAGGGTCCTGATCAATTGCGAGTTGGAAACGGACAAGGGTTGCCAACAGTTCACACAGGTACCGCCAACTATCATTATTCAAATCGCAATTTTATTTTAAACAATGTTCTTCATTTACCTAAGTTTCAACAATCTCTCCTTTCAGTCTAAAAATTCCCCAAGGATAACAAATGTTTCTTTGAATTTTGGCTACTCATTTTTTTGTTAAGGACCAGGCGACCAAGGAAATCCTACTCAAAGGTCCGAGTGAACATGGCATGTATATTTTTCAATCACCAAGGAAAGAGGTTAATGTGGCTAAAGTTGTTCCACTCTCGACTTGGCATGCAAGACTGGGACATCCTCATCACCAAACAGTTTCCTCCATTTTAAAATCTAATAATTTATAGAGTTCTAGTATTTCTAAATCGTCGTCTTGTTTAGCGTGTCCTTTAGGCAAGTTATCTAAAATTTCTCTAGCTTCTGTAGAACATAAAAGGTGTCATTTGATATTGCCACTCTGATGTTTAGGGTCCAGCATCTATTTTATCTTCTTTGGGTCACATATTTTATTATCTTTGTTGGAGATTTTTGGGTTTATTTCCTTAAAAATAAAAATGATTTATTTTCTATTTTTCTTAATTTTCAATCTTTTGTTGAAAGTCAATTTCTAACAGAAATTCGTTCTTTTCATTTTGATTGGGGAGGTGAATATCAAAAATTAAATAAATATTTCACCCAACATGGCATTATACATCGCCTTGCTTGTCCATATACCCATGAACAAAATTGTGTTGCTAAAAAAAAAAAATTCGACATCCTGTTGACACTAGGCTTACTCTTTTAGCTCATGTGTCTACTCTTCTTGAACATTCGCTATATGCTTTTGATTCCGGCACAACTCTAATAAATAATTTACCTACACCAGTTCTGCAAAATTTGTGCCCATTCAAAAAATTATTTCATGTCTTACCGAACTATTCTGAATTCAAAATATTTGGTTGTGCAATATTTCTTTTATTAAGACCTTATAATAAACAAAAAATTTCTTTCCGTAGAAAAGTTTGCGTATTTTTGGGTGAGTCTCCTAATCACAAAGGATTTCAATGTCTTGATTTGGAAAGCAATAAAATCTACATTGCTAGACACGTCTACATCTTTTCGTTGGCTTACTGTGACGCATACATGCCATGCAATTTGGATTCTCTACAAGGTAAGATTTCCTTATCTCCACCGAATTCCTCATCTCACCAAATTTCCTCAAATACTGCCTCAACCTCCTCAAATAACATCAACTCTTCCTCTTCAAATAATTCTTAAACTAATTCTCCTGCTTCATCACGTCCCCAGCAATCATCAAGTCCTATTTTATCTCGACTTTCCTCATCCCACCAAACTTCCTCTCTTTCCTGTTCCTCATCTCACATTATTTTTCAAACTTCTAATCCCTCTCAAACTCTATTTCGACAGCGTACCCACGTCAGTCTCAACTTGGTTTTTTATCTTTCCCATTCTCAAAATTCTTCTCCACAAAAATCAGACCATAATTCCACCCCCCCCATCGTACACATCCATGCAACTTTGAACTAACACTCATTCCAAATGCCAAGAACATCTTGCATATCACTCATCTACCCCAAATTATCTTGATACTGAACCTCTTAGGAGTGTAAGCGATCTGATTTTATCGATTTTTGACAAATTTTCAAACCAAACCGTTTTAACCGGTTTGAGAAAAACTCAAACCTAAACCTAACGGTTTGGTCCGGTTTAAAACCGCCGGTTTCGTCGTATATTTTTTTATCAGTATACTTTTATGACATTAATTCATTGAATTCAATATGTATTTATATCTTACTAACAATAAATCTAAAACAATCTAAGTCCTTGTTTCAACCAAATTTTTGGGACAAAAAAATGAAAATTTGGACGGTTATCACACAAGTCCAACCGCATTTGTTGACCTGTTGTTTCATGCATGGGACCCAACCTCCTTTCCAGTGGTCAATTTTCTCATTATGATAACATGAAAAATATAGCTCGAACAAGGGCTAAATATATCTATTATAACTTTAAATATCTACTAAATCAAAATGAAATCACAATAAACTAAAACATAGTTTTTTTCACCTTTTTTAGGCTAATGACGTTATGATAACGTTACAATACAAGTCTACTAAATGAGATATAATGCCAAAAAAAAATCAATCCAACAAGACCTCGTGAACATCATATTTGAAACACGTTTATTGATTAGACAAAAAGAATAATCAACCACAATAATAAATCAGTTATTTATAATATATAAACATAACAATTACACAAGCTTAAGTTTGTATGTTGTTACGAAACGCATTTAATTTCAGATTCTTACCTCAGTTTGCTCAAAAAAATTATTGATTTGAAACTTTATTCATAGTAAATATTATCACCGAAGGTTTAGGATCTCCGTCTCTGATTTGGTGTAATGGACTACAATTCAACTTTGAAGAGACGTAAAAAATCTGAAGAAGAAGTGTGTGTGGTGCCGATGACTCAAGACTGTGTCGGGTGTCAGCTGGAGTTCATCTGAATTCTGAAGAGGAAAATGACTTTTAATAGATTATGTTAGTTTTGAGATTATTAGATAAAAATTAGGATTATTAGGTAATAATAATATATATGTATTAGAAAATTAGAAATTGATAAAAATACCCACAAATGACAAAACTATTGAATTTTACATATTTGGATGAATTTTCAAAAAAAATTCATTTTTTCATTTTTTTTATTTTTATATATTTTTTGCTGGTCCGATTTGGTTTTAAACCACAATTAAAATTCTCAAACCTAAACCAAACCATTTTGACCGGTTTGATTTGGTTCAAAATCATTTCGTTGACCAGGTCCACGTGTCACCAAACTGACGGTTTCTAAAATGCGGTTTCGATTCGATTTTCCGGTTTTGCGGTTTTTGCTTACAGCCCTAGAACCTACCATCTTTAAACAGGCTCGTAAATATCCTAAATGATTGGAGGCGATGCATGTTGAACTTAAAGCTTTACATGACAATCGCACTTGGTCATTGGTTCCTCAACCTGCACACAAAAATGTCATCACTAATAAATGGATTTTCCGTATTAAAAGACATAAAGATGGCAACATTGAGTGCTACAAAGCTCGTCTAGTTGCAAAATGATTTAGTCAAAAAGCCAGTTTTGATTATCAAGAAACCTTCGGCCCTATTGTGAAGGCAACTACCATTCACATGGTCTTGTCTTTTGCTACTGTTCCCCATTGGCCATTACATCAAATTGACTTATCGAATGCCTTCCTTCATGGTTCACTAGAAGATGAAATTTATATGGAGCAACCAATTAGATTTATTAATTCTTCTAAACCGGATCATGTGTTTAAGCTTCACAAGTCCCTCTTATCTCAAGCAAGCCCCACAGGCATGGTATTCACGTTTGAGCAGTTTTTAATGCAAGCTTGGTTTTATTCATTCTAAAGCTGACATTTCATTATTCTTTCTACAAAGGGGTGCTCATCGCATTTTTATATTGGTGTATGTTGATAATTTTATCATCACTGGTTCTTCTCCTTCCCTCATTGCTAATCTTATGCAGCAGCTTCAATTAGAATTTCCTGTGAGAGACTTAGGCAGACTTAATTATTTTTAGGGGATAGAAGTTAATTATCTTACAGATGGCATTTTATTATCTCAAGAAAAATATATCGCAGACTAGTTAGAATGTACTGGTATGTCCCAATGAAAGCCTTGTTCGACTCCAACTTCTACCTCTCATTCTCTTTCAAAATAGGTTGGCGCATTGTTACAAAATGGTGATGATTATCATCGGGTCATTGGACCTTACAATATGTAACACTGACTAGACCAGACATCTCCTTCGCAATAAATAAAGTGTCAGTACATGCACTCACCAACAGATGATCATTGGAAGGCTATTAAACGCCTACTACAATATCTTCAACATACTACTCGGCTTGGCTCATTCATCACCAAACATTCAGATTTTCAAATTCATTGCTTCAGTGACAGTGATCGGGGCAGTTGTCCTGATGATTGAAGATCAACAAATGGTTACGGTATATTTATTGGAAATAATCTGATTTCTTGGATGGAGAAAAAATAACCAACGGTTGCTGGTTCTTCAACTGAGAGTGAGTATAAAGCGATCGCCTATGCAACTTCAAAATTCTTGTGGATACAATCTTTGCTTACGGAACTGGATTGTTTATCTCCTTCCTGTGCCATTCTGTGGTGTGACAATGTGGGAGCAATCTACCTTATAGCTAACCCCATATGTCACGCTCGTACGATATTGTGTCTAATGTCCAAACCAATGGCTTGAGGGGAGGAGGGGGTGTTAAGGGATAAGGGATAACATTCTTTCAGTTATTGATAGTATATCAATTACCGTGTATTAGGTGATTAACGTTAGGAGTTGATTAGGTTAGTTTCTTTGTTTGCTGTATTCTTATCTCATAGACTTGTATAAACAGGTTTGTATACTTTCATTCAAATAAAGGAAAAACATATTTTACTTTTCATCATTTTCCTCTACAATAACTACATTCGTTCTTCATTGGATGCTCCCATGAAAGAAAAACGTTGACATAAATCTAAGCAAGATTTCGATTACTTCGTTTCTAGTTTAGTGAAAATGGAAAGCAAGTCAAGATTGGAATGAGAAAAAAAAGGAACACTTAAAGCCTGCTTGAGAGTTGTTTTCCCCGTTTTTGAGTGGCACCATTTAATAGAGGTTGGAAAAACCGGTGCTTGCAAGTTTTTTTGGCCGCTAAACCACCCAAAACCTATGTAATGTAATTTTTACCATTTCTCTCAACCCACCAAATCAGGGGTATTAGCCCGTTCTCAAATTCTCCTTTAACTTTACCATCTATAAAATAATTATTCCCAAGCAAACATATTTTGTTGAAAACTAATTTGTAAATAAAAATAATTAAGAGAGAACCAACGGGGAAGTCTAAAAGGCCAAGCAGAAAATTTGCACATATCGTAGCGGTCTGACGAAGATCAGAAACAATATAATCTAACTCTGCAACATAAGTTTCCAACATTTCGCGTTTCTGTATCTCGTCTCAATCCTTACGAAACCACAAGTTACCATGTCTCTCGTTGCAGCTTAATTTGATTAAGCCCCTGTTTTAACTATTCAGTGGCGCACTTTTTAATAACCATTACACACTCGTAAACTATCTCAATTGAGTTTCACAAGAAATCCCCCATGAACAATCCAGCGAAGCATCCAAAAGACCCAATCCATACGTACAAAATTGCAATCCAAGCGACTAAGACACTTGAAAAACAACATATTCAAAAACAAATATCTTAATCGCCACAAATAACTTCAAATGAAAGTGAGCAAGAAATGTGAACCGACCTGTTTACCCATTTTGACAACAACGTAAGGATCGCTACTTCGTACATCCCGAACAGCAAGATTAACACCTCTCTTGACCCGAATTCTAAGAAGTCCCAAAAGATTATCCATCTGAGATTTTGATGCACTTCCAGGAGATGAAGATGTTGGCGTTCTTGGTGACCCAATCTATATTAGCCCTTCCCTTCCTCGTGGGGTCCTATTTACTTCTACCAAATCAAGCCGCCCTTTTCTCTGAAAGAATATGCAAATCGTAATAATCAGATAGTAGAATATTACACCAACCAATAATAAAGGCTTGACTTTTAATGGGCAAAAAATGGGGCCGCATTTCTTCTCTGATTAAACAATCCATTTGGGACCTACTTTACGGAATCTTCAATAGAAATTGCTCCAGCGTACGCTGGATCTAACTAGACACTTTACCCATTTATGATCATTTGATCCAGTCAAGATAAATTTGTTGTTGACCACGAATATAGTTTTTGTAAACATCATAATTACATGAAATATAGACAAATAAATTTTTATTTATTCGTGCATTAACCTATTTTTCTATGCATTCTGTAATTTTGCAATACTAAAAATGATATTTTCTCTTCGATGCACGACTAGGAAAATGTTGAAATTTGAGAAAGCAGTAGTAAATAACATTAATTCTAAGAGCTTAATTTAATGATCAAGAGTGTAACAGTAAACTAGAACCCCGTAATTAAATTTTCTCTTTTTTATCCCAGTAATTAATTATTTTGTATTTTTATTATAAGCTTTGTTTGACCCTCATTATTTGAAATTTTAATGGTTGGAATAATATATTTTTGAAGAACGTGTGATCAAAAAAGAATAAAAGATTTTGTGATTACGTGTTATTTTATTTTATTAGAGAATATGTAGTTAATAGCAAGAGAGTGAATGATGATATAATTTTAAGGGGTAATTGGTACAAAACGTCTCTATCTTTCGAGATTATTGTAGAAGACGTCTCTACCTTTCATTTTTTAACATTTTAGCCCCTATTTCAATATTTCTTTGCGTTCAACGTCATTTTCATCAATTTTTGACATTAAATGATCAATATACCCTTCCATTTAAACAAAACAATAAAAAAAGAAAAGAAAAATAAAGAAGAAATTTCAACCATGGGCCAAACTTTTAAAAAAAAGTGCAAATGAGTTCAAAAATCTTCATTAAAATATTTTAAAAAAAAACTCTCTCCTCTTCTCCTTCCCTCCTGTGCCTCGTCTACCATCGGCGGCGGCCAAAACCTCAGTGCACAGCTTTCAGAAATTTTCTAACAAATTTCAAAAATTTTAAGTAAACGAATTTAAAATTGGATGAAATTGTTTCTTGATAAGATGAATGGACTGAGCAATTGCAGAGGTATGGCTCTTCCAATCACTCTCATCCTCATCATATATGGTCCAACCATTAGTAATTATACCCTCCACTACCTCCCCCAATCCTCACCAACTCTTTCTTACGACTATAAAATGAGACTTATACATACATATATATATAGATACAAATGCATGATAATAATGGAAGGTAGATTTCATGAGCAAGATGACTCCATCAGCATTCTAGAAACGTGACTGATTCTCCACTTTTCCTCAGGGATGAAGCACATGAAGAAGTTTACGAGCTGTCGCCCAAAAAAATGTTTAAATTTTAGTACTTTTTTTTTCTTTTCAGTTTAGTCGTTTTCTCTCAATTGAGGAGTGAGAAACCAAAGTAAATATAGATTCCATTGAGTTGTGGTATTAGGAGAGATGCAAGGAAGAAGGTAATGACAATACCAATTGACAGCGATGGATCCTGGATTAAATCGGGAATTTTGTGCTCTACGCATCGTTGAGAAATTTGTGCATCGTGGTTTCTGAAATTTGTTGAGAAATTTCTGAAAGTTGTTGAGAATTTTGTGCTCTGTGCATTGTGGTTTTGGCCGCAACGGCGACGGTGGTGGACGAGGCGCAGGAAGGGGAGGAGAAGAAGAGGAGAGAGAATTTAAAAATATATATATATTTTAATAAAAAATTTTGTACTCATTTGCACTTTTTTAAAAGTTTGGCCCACAATTGAAATTTGTTCTTTATTTTTCTTTTCTTTTTTTCTTGTTTTGTTTAAATGGAAGAGTATATTGGTCATTTAATATCAAAATTTGGTGAAAATGATGTTCAACGCAAAGAAAGATGGAAATATGGGCAAAAATGCAAAAAAATAAAAAGTAAAAACGTTTTCCACAATAATCTCGAAAGGTAGGAACGTATTGTGCCAATTACCCTAATTTTAAGGGCTATACTTGCTATACAATCTCAAGGGTTACAGTCCCCTCATATGAGGGGGGGCCCAACGTGAGAGGGCTATAGATGTATAGTCCGAGTTGATTTGTACAATCAACTCAATCCTAAATTTAAGTCTTGTTTGGTTTTCATTAAATTTCATTTCATTACATTCAATTTTTTTAATCTTATTTTCAATGACACAATTTTTCATCAAATAATATTACATGTAAATCGAAAAAAAATTCTTATTTTTTAATCACTCATTTTTCAATAAAATCGTTATTCCACCAATTTTTATTTCCACAAAATAGAGGACAAAGGAGGGCTTAATTGTGACAAAACAAGGCTAAAAATACTTTCTTGTGTACATCATACCTTCTATAAGAACATTTTCAGAATGCTTTCAAAAGTGAAATAAACTTATTTTAAAGATCCGAATGTTAAAAGTAGACACCAAATAAATTCTTTATTTCATGTTTTAAAATATATAACCGATTCTCTTTATTTTTAAAATATATTTTCTTTCTTCTTTTTAATCTTATATTTTTCAATAAAATAATATTATATAGGAATTCAAAAATATTCCTTTATTTTTTAAACATGCACTCTTCATTGATCTACTGTTTCAAGATGTATTCTTGGATAAATATGGGGCTAAAAATTTTGAAGGAAAGTGGTATGGGTTTGAATCTCATTTGGACTGAATCAAATTTCTCTTCTTCAGATGAATGACACTTTGAATCTCATTAATTTTCATTCCAATACATTCAATTTTTTCTATCATATTTTCAATCACACAATTTTTTATAAAATAATATTACACGTAAATCGAAAACTTTTCATTCATTTTTGAGCATTTATTTTTCAAAAAAAATACCATTCCACTTATTTTCATTTTCAAAAAATGAGGCCCAAACGGGGGCTTCATTATGATCAAGTTAATCTTAAAAAATAAAGAGATTATTGGACCTTATTAAAAAAAAAAATAAAATTAACGAAATGTCCCCTTTTCCTTATTTCTTTTCAGAAAAGAAAGAGTCTATAGGATCAAATGATCAAGTTCGTAAAATAATTTACACCTCTTCTCAATATCATGGTGTTGTAGGCATTTCGATGCAAGTCAAACTTGAGCGTGTACAATTTTTATGACCCAAAAATTCATGACGCGGTATAAAATCATAAACTAATGAAACTCACAAGTGACATATAGTCCATTAATGTACAACATGTTCATGGTTTAGAACATAACTAAATTGGTAAGAATATCAACATATACAAGAATGTGCACACAAACAATTCCATCGAAAAATTCTGCCCTGGAGTGCTGATGAAGGTAATTGACCTTCCAAACAATTACGAATTTTTTTGCAATTCGAATGGTAGGCTTGAAATTCGTTCACGGATAACATCTAAAAATTTCACGTTCCATCTTATTTGATAAGGGCATCAACTAATCGAACAAATTGCATAAAAATAGACCATAAATCAAAATGGACTCTTGCATATCGTGCACAAAAATAGACTATCAAACGGGAATTAAACTAGTTTGATAGAAAAAGGGTGACTTGTTGTTTGACGTCCTCTCACATGGTGTTGAGACTCATGTAAATAAAAAAATTCAAAAAAAAAGTAGCCCCCACTCCTATTGTGAGTGTTCGATCAGATAACCTGTCATTCCCATCCTATCAGTGTTGCAAAGTTGATCAAACAAAATGGACTCTTGCATATTTCTTTCAAACGAATAGATTTTTTATCATTGGATCATCGACTTGACTTGGATTGATAGGACACTAGCATGAGTAATGCAAACTGTACAACATTGTGTACATAATGGTGTAGAAAAAAATGATACGGAAGGGAGAGAGATTATAATAAGGATTAAACAATTCTACATACAAAGTGCAGGCCTTGATTGACACCCTCTCGTGTCAAAAATTTGACAATTGATTAAAAAATGTGTTATCAAGATCAATGTACCAAAATCTGTCAACTCACATGTGCATAAGCCATTGTCTTAACATTTATGTACATATACATGGTCTAATATTAAATTATTATTTTTTTGTCTCCTTTTTCTTCCCTCTCTTTCAAATCATCTATCCGTACACCATGATATGCAAATAACATTACTCAAATAATGTTAGAAAAAATAGTTATTTGGGAACTGTTTCAAGCAAATGTGCGTTCCCCATTAGATAAAATTCCCGCCATATTTGAGAAGAAATTCGGGATATCACAATTTCCTATTTTACTTAGGCCTTGTTTCATCCACATTATTAGGAAAAAAAACAAAGTGATTTGACATCATTTTAATTACACATTTTTCAATAAAAATAATATTACATATAAATTTAAAACTTTTCCTTATTTTTTAACCACACATTTCCCATCAATACATATTGAAAAATACATTTTCTTCCAAAATAATGTGGCTCAAACAAGGATTTGATAAAAAAAATTATATTTGTTTGAACCCTATTCATTGGAAAAAATATAGCCTTTGTTTGAGTCCCATTTTTCAATCAAAATATATTTTTTAATAGTGATTTGATATCATTTTAACCACACATTCTTCAATGAAATAATATTGCACGCAAATCAAAAATTTTTTCTAATTTTTTAACCACACATTTTCCATCAATATACTATTAAAAAATTTATTTTCTTCACAAAAATGGGGCTCAAACAAGGGCATATTCTCAAAACAGTAATTTAACATTATTTTAACAATATATTTTTCAATAAAATAAATATTACACACAAATTCACAACTTTTCTTTATTTTTTAATTATATAAATCTCATCAATATACTATTCAAAAGATGCATTTTTATGCCTCAAGCAAGAGCTTAAAAGAAAATTAAAGTTTAACCAAACGTACCATTTTTTGGAAGTCCTAAACGGCACTTTGGAAATTCTCTCTGTTTTCACATTTCTCGTTCGTCATCTTCCCCTGCAATTTTCCATTCCCGCCATGAAATTGTAAAATAATTTCATCGAATTTAAAAGAGAAAGAAAAGTGGTAGTGATTCGGTGCAATTTTACTGTAGTTAGGGTTTGATTTTTGTCAAGATGGCCAACAGCACGAGAGACGATGATTACAACTATATGAAAATAGTGGATGCTATGGCTTCCATAAATCAACGGGTCAATCTCATTGGTATTGTCGCAGAGGCTAGCCTTCCAAAACATTCCAATGGCACCGGTAAATTTCTTCTCATCTGAAAATAGGAACGAATCTATGTTGTGTCGGGGTTAAAATCTTATGTTCAAGAACTAGGATTATAGTTGTCATATTTTACATATTTAACGGATTTTACGCTTAACATATCCAGCAAGATGGTGGGTCCTTTGAAAACACCAATCTTGAAATTGAAACGCTAGTTTTTCAATTTTTGAGCTTTTATGGAATCTGCTACCACTTGGTGTCTTCGATTCGATCTTAGATAACTCTTCTCTGGTAGTTATTGTTTCATATTTAATATACGTGCAGTTTTACTCTCAACTGAGTACAAGAATTGCCCCTCTAACAGCAGGCTTCTTTGTTTTTCTTTTGTATTTTCCAGATTATTTTTGTTCCGTAAAGTTGATTGACGAATCACGAACGGGTCCTGGAATTGCAGTAACATTTTTTGCTGAAACTATGGAGAAGCTTCCTCGGATCGAGTCCATTGGAGATATAATTATACTGACTCGTGTCACGGTAATGATTGTGTACTTGTAGCAAGAAATATTTTTTTTTAATTAAATTTGTGGGCTAGGAGATATATCAATATATGTACATATTTTTTTTTTTTTGCTGTAGATGAAAGCACATTGTTCGGACGTCTATGCTACGTACCTGAAAAAATATTCTTCGTTCGCTTTGTTTGAAGGGAAACACTGTAGTCGTAATGTCGGGCCTTACCAAGCTTCGCCAAATTTTCGAGCTAGGGAGCAAGATAAACCATTCGTCGCCAAGTTAAGAGAATCTATGAAAATTGAAGCAGGTGTTCTCCTCTTCATTTCATTAGTAGTGACTGAAACATCTGTTGTAGGAATATCCCAGCTAAATTCAAGGTTTCCAGCTTTTTGTAATCAACTTTTACTTTCGCTGTTCTGTTTTTACTAGTTTATTTGTGAACCATGCATGTCTAGCCGCCAGTTAAAAAGTGCTTACTGATTCCTACAGTTGAGGTTTCACTGCCACATTTCTTTTAAGCCACTTTTTGGGAGTAAAATATTTTGACATATGGAACTGAAAGTTTTGCAAGTAGATTTCCGTGTTGCTCATGGTTATCCATTTGCTTGATAGACTTGAACAATTTGTCGCCACTAAAAGAGATGAAGGAGGGTGAGCACATCAATTTGCTTTGTAAGGTATTTTTAAATCGCACCTTTGTCTCTCATTGCTTTTAAATTCTCAACATATAGCCTTTTAGTGACATTTTAAGGTTATTTTGTTTCTTTTTCTGTACAATTAACCTAAATTCATTGGGTTATCTATCCTGCACAAGAAGAGGGAGTTAGATAACATGTCCTTTTTTGTTGGACTTTTCCACTGCAAGGTTTTGCATCTTTGTGAAGTTACAAAGGATGACTGGATGCTCTTTGTTTGGGATGGAACAGACACACCTCCTGCATCTATTGAAGCCAAGTTAGTATTTTTGTATATCTTCTTCATGTTTGTGTTCTTTAGGTATTAATTACAAAAGATCTCTAGACATCAAAATTGCTCTGAATATTATTTTATTTAGCGGAGTCTGATTAATCAATCTAGCTTTGGGATAGCCTGATACAACATTGATACAACCAACAACCTGCAAAAAATAACTACTAAGTCTTATTCCCAACGAGGTTGTGGTCTGATGCACATGTCCTTAGAGCTTTAGTGTGAGGTATATAGATACTTGCAACCCTCTTATTCTTGCGAAAAGTTTGTTTTAAACTATTATTATTGTTGTTGTTGTTGTTGTTATAACAATGTTTGCTCTATATGGTATTTGCCTTTACTTGTGTAGGCCTTAGTTTATTATAACTGAATAGGTCCAATTAGGGTTGGACATGGTCCAGTTAAGTTCTTCTCCGACCCGAACCGAAATTTGGGATGGTGAATATGGACAAGCTGTGGGTTACTAGCAGTTTGGAGGATTTTATCTCTAAATTCAATGAGTCATCAGGAGTTTTCTTAGCACAACGATCTGTGAACAGCCGTGGTAGGTACTTGATGATAGCACAGTATAGGGATAGGCATCGGAAGGGAGTTGGATGGTGCCGGAAGGTGCGAATGGAGAAGGATGGGCATCGATCTCGTGGGTGTTTTAGGCAGTAGTTGACTCATTTGTTGCTGGAGATAAAGCCAAACGTCGAATGGTGAACGACCGAAGTCGACAAGGGATGACCTATGCTTAAGTTACGGCGAACATACAGGCCTTGCAGAATGTTGATCAAAGGGTGCTTATGCGAAAGGAGAAGGTAGTTATTGTGAGTGAAAATGAAGGTAATATTATGATTCCTTAGTCCAAGGCAGCATATGCAGAAGGTTCAGATGATGGTTTATTGAATACTGCCGAAATAAGGGCTCGTGTCTAGTTGTTGAAAGGGGAGTTGGATAAATTACTTAGGGTTGTAGGATGTAGGTCTATAGCAGTTCCCAAGATACTTTGTCACAAGTGTGGGATGGGTGTGGACGAAGAACACGTAACTCCTAAGGAGCTATCAATGAAAATAGCCCTTACTAAAGATAATCTGGATAATAACTTGCGGACTGAAGCAAATCGGGAGGTGAGACCTTGGTCTAACAAAGGGGAGCCCAATATGGTGAATTTGGAGTCGGAGACACTAGGGATGATGGACACGACGTCGCTGGCTGATGGACTATTATCAGTTGAGCAAGAGCAAGAGACGGGACATGTATTGACAGAGGGATCAGTCTCCACAGTACTGAAAGGGCACAAGGAGACATGTTCAAGAACCATGGTTGGGAACACATATAATAAAAGGCATTCTAAGCCCCTAAAAGAAAAGGAGTTAGAGACTGACAAAGCTCTGGTGTTGTGGGTAGATAGTACTAAACAGGGAGGAACATATAGTGATATCAAGCAGGTGGAGGAAATAGAGGGATACCATGTGATCCTTTAGAGTATCGTCATGCAGAGAAAACGACGAAAGTGAATGCGATTGAAGTTGAACCCTCACTTTCAAATTGGGTCCTTCAAAAAATTTAGGATTTCAGTAAGTTGGTTGGTGTGTCGTGCGATGGATATGAAAGTAGATTTTTGCAATTATTCGAGGAATTAGAGGGCAGTAGGGGACGGGATGAGTATACAAGGGGTAAATTAAGAAGAAAGGGAGATTGTGAACTTAAGCAGCTTGAATGTTTAGTAAATTATGATGCTAAGGGTGTCAAGTCAAAGAAAGGATTGCTTGGAAGGGATGACAAAACATCTTGATGATCCCAAAAATAATTAGTTGGAACATGAGGGGACTTAATGAAGCGTGGAAAAGGTTAGGTGTTCGAAATTTGTTAAAGGGATGGAGGGTGGACCTTGTTTGCTTACAAGAAACTAAGTTGGAGTTCATCTCGAGGGCGATTGTTAGCAGTTTATGGGGGACAGCATGTCGGGTATCAATATATGGGGTCATCGAGGGATTCAGGAGGTGTGTTAGTCATGTGGGACGCTAGAGTTCTTGAAATGGAGGAGGTTAGTGAAAGGCTATTTTCCTTATCGCTTTTGTTTAGAAATATTGGGAATGGATTTCGTTGGATGTTTATAGGAGTTTACGGGCCAACGCTGATCAGAGTAGAGGTGGATTGTGGGATGAGTTGGCAAGGATGATGGCTTGGTGGAACATTCCCACGTGCATTGGGAGAGATCTTAACTAGGTTCAGTTTCTACTGAGAGGTCTAGCGACGGGAGATTAACAGGGGCAATGGAAGATTTCTCAGATTTTATTAGGGAAATTATGTTGGTAGACATGCCTTTGATTGGAAGAGACTTCACTTGGTCATCAAATTGGGATCAACTTGTGTTATCTCGAATGGATCGCTTTTTTATGAGTGGGGAGTGGGAGGCCAAATATTCGGAGGTCAATCGGAGGAGATTGTAGATGGTGTATTCTGATCATTTCCATATTTTGCTATCGGGGAATGTGAGGTGTAGTGGAAGAAGGCCTTTTAGATTTGAGAAGATGTGGCTAAAAGTAGAAGGCTTTGGGGAGCGAGTACGGGATTGGTGGGCATCTTATGAATTCAAGGGTCTCCCAGTTATGTATTGGATTAGGAATTAAAAGCCTTGAAGAAGGATCTGAAGAGGTGGAATGAAGAAGTGGTGGGAGATGATAATTGTCGTAAAAATCAATGCATTCTAAAACAGAAGAGTTGGATAGATGGGAGGAGAGTCAAGGGTTGTATGGGAATAAGAGAGAGAGACGTGGAGTGTTAAGAAGAGAGTTGGAGAGATTTGTGGAGATTACTTGGCGCCAGAAATCTAGAGTCACATGGTTGAAAGAGGGAGACATGCGCCAAGTTTTTCGATAGAGTCGCTAGGTCTAACAGGCGCAACAACTCTATCACTTTATTAGAGGTCGATAGGGCTATTTATGAGGACGCGCGGGATATTGGGAATCAAATGGTGAGATTCTATAAAAGTATCTATCGGGAACAGTTTGACTGGAGGCCAGAGATGGATGAACTGGACTTCTCTACTATCACGGAGGAGGATGCCAGCTGTTTAGAGTAACCATTTGGGGATGATTAAATCAAGGTGGTTTTCAGCATGAATGATGATAAGGCACCGGGACGTGACGGCTTCTCATTCGCATTTTATAAGGCTTGTTGGGAGTTGATACGTTCGGACATTATAGACGTTCTTATTTTTCTGAGTACGGCAGGTTCTTGAGAAGTTCTAACGCTACATTTATTGTGTTGATCCCCAAGAAATTGAGAGCAGTTGACATTAAGGATTTTCGCCCTATTAATAAGCTTAGTTAGCGGGACATACAAAATTATTGCAAAGATTCTGGCGAATAGATTGAAGGAGGTGTTGGGGAAAGTGGTAACGAAGTGTCAGGATGCTTTTGTAAGAGGAAGGCAGATTTTGGATTCTGTACTTATAGAAAATGAATGCGTTGACTCTAGATTACGCTTGGGGGTGCCATGGATGTTATGCAAACTCGATATTCAGAAGCCTACGATCACGGGAACTGGTGGATCCTTATGTACATGTTCAGAAGAAGTGGCTTTGGGGGAAAATGGTGCAAGTGGATTCAATTTTGTATTTGTACCGTTTCGTTCTTAGTCTTCGTTAACGGCACCTCAGAAGGATATTTTCAAAGCAGCAGAAGTTTGAGACAAGGGGATCCTTTGTCTCCATTGTTGTTTGTGATTGTTATGGAGGCATTCAATAGGATATTTGAAAAATCTGTGGGAGAAGGTTTGATAAGGGGCTTTACGGTTGGATACTTACAGGTTTTCCATTTGCTATTTGCAAACGATACACTGATTCTATGCGATGCATGAATGAGCAATTCAGGAACTTTCGTCGGCTACTTCTATGCTTTGAAGTGGTCTCAGGATTAAATATTAATTTGGGGAAATTTGAAGCTATTCTAGTGGGAGAGGATGCTAATGTGGATGAGCTGGCCAATATATTGGGTTGTAGGGTGGTGCAATTGCCCATGTCATACCTTGGGGGCTCCATTTAGGACAAGGGTTAAAAGTAAACATATTTGGAATAGAATTGTCGAAAGAGTGGAAAAGAGATTAGCGAGGTGGAAGCGTATGTACCTTTCGAAGGGAGGCCGTCTTACCCTCATTAAATCCATTCTATTTAATCTCCTAACTTATTTCTTGTCTTTGTTTCCCATTCTTGTTACAGTGGCAAATAGATTAGAGAGGATTCAAAGAAAGTTTCTTTGGGCAAGGTTAGGGAAAGAGAGGAAATTTCATCTAGTCAATTGGGGTGTGGTTTGTTCTCCTGTAAGGATGGGGGGTCTTGGATTGAGGAACCTCATTCTGTTTAACAGGCTTTATTGGGCAAGTGGTTATGGCGATTTGGAGTGGAGAGGATGAGTTTTTGGATAGAAATCATATGAGCAAAGTATGATGTGATGGAAGGGGGATGGTGCTCGATTGAGGGTCGTTGATCTTATGGGGTGAGTTTGTGGAAGTATATCCAACAATGATGGAATGAATTTCGAGATAAATTGACTTATGTGGTGGGGATTAGCAATAGTATCAGATTTTGGAATGATTGCTGATGTGAAGATCATTCGTTAAAGGTATGGTTTCCTTTTTTGCACCGCATAGCCTTGGAACCGTCCGCTATGGTGAATGATGTAATAACCATACGTAATGGAAGTTATAGCTGGAATGTTGCTTTTGAGAGGGGATTACAAGATTAGAAATTGGATGATTATGCATTGTTTTTGACTTGCACGAAGCGCATATTCAAGTAGGAGAGGGTGATCATAGCAGGTGGAATTTGGCACGGGATGATATTTTTTCAGCTCGCACTTATTTTAGATCCATATTCGGATCGGTGAAGAGTTCATTTTTCTGGAAGATGATGTGGCAATGTAAATTATCTTCACAGGTGGCCTTCTTATTATGGACGGTTGTGAGAGAATAGGTGTTAACGGTGGATAATTTTTGAAGAAAAGGCTTTTGTGTTACCGAGTGGTGTTATGTGTAAGAGAGATAGGAAACGATTAACCATTTGTTCATCCATTGTAATGGTGTTGGGTGGCTGAGGAACGGTATTTTAGCTTTCCAACATTTGGATTACGTGTTGCCTAGGTGCATAGAAGACGTGTTGCGGGCATGGAGGAGAAAATTTGGAGATAAGGATAGCAGACTTGTGTGGAGTCTTATTCTGGGATGTATTGTATGGTGTGTGTGGACAAAGGAACAATCCCTGTTTTAAAGACCAAACAAGAACAACAGAGCAAATCAGAGAATTGTTTTATATGACTTTGTATACTTGGTTTAATGCTGCGACCACTAAATATATAAATGGGCTACTTAACTTCATATCGTTTCTTTCTTGTTTATATTGATAATACACCTCCCATATATTATCCTATTGATTAATAAAATTATTTGAATACTTATAAAAAATAAAAAATTAGGGAGATTTGGTTCTTCGATTTTTTTTATCTTGAATCGAGAACCAAACCATACCCGTTGGTTCTCAATTCAAATGTCCGTTCGGGTATTTAACCTAAAAAGAACCGCTCGGTTCGATTGAAATAAATACTAGTCTTAATAAAACAAGTTCTAATGCTAAAAGATTAGAAAAATGGCAAATATTAAAAAGAAGAAATGCTTGGGTCTGTCCAGCCTTAGGTCCAACCAGTCAATCTGTTCTATTAATAATTGTAATCTGAAAAAAATTTACATATTAATAAAACTTATTTTCATTGTTCTGTTCCCGAATCTACTATACCTACAAAAGCATAGATTCTGCTATGGGTTTTCTAGTTAGCATACTTTGGGTGGAAAAGCTGTTAGTTTCAGAGTCATGAGAATAGGGTTCTTATTTGGTACAAATATATTTGTTAGCTTATTTGAATTTCTAATAGAGAATATGTTTCTGTTCCGTTTCTAGTGGGTCTCGACACTGAATTGAATTTATGCTTTCCAAGAATATATTTTTATTTAAACTTGAAACTATTACTGTTTATC